TTTCGATACTCTATTTATGAAGGTTGGAATAAATTTAATATAGATATTACGGTTATAATTGAAAATTATAAAATCACTATTCTTTCAGAATTTGCTGATTTAATCAAATCTTGTTAAATTTCGGTTAATCATAATTTTGATTCATCCCCCTAAAATAAATTTGGTTTGCAGTGATCATCTCGAAATTGTATTTAAAATAAGATCCTTATATAAAAAAAAAAAAAATAGCAAAAGTGAAATACTATCATGGGATCTTCTAGCATAGGATATACTCGTGCATAAGGTTGTAAACGAGCCGAGCCGAGTTCGCGCTTATGGTGCTCGAGCTCGATTTCGAACTCTCAACGAGTCGAGTTGAGCTCGGCTTGTTAAATAAACGAGCCTGAAATCGAGTTCGAGCCATAACGAGCTGAATTATAAAAAATTCTATAAAAATTCTTATTTGGAGCCTTACCGAGCCGAGCTAACCAAACGAACTTTAAATGAGCTCGAGCTCGGCTCGTTAAGGTCTCGAACTTGAGCCTTAACGAGTTGAGTTCGAGCCGAGTCGAGCTCGACTCGTTTAATTTAACAGCATTACTGCATACGTATCTTCCATCTCACTTAGATCAAAATTTCAACCTCAACCTTATAATGTATAAGGTTAATATGTTGAGTCCTCATATGCCTCGTAAATGTGAAACACCTTTCATATCCTTATTTTAATTTTGACTAGTAAAGTGTCGCGCGATGCTCGTGGTAACATAATTATTTTTGTCACGTAAATTCTTTACTAACTATAATTAATTTATAACATAAAAAATATGATATGTAGCATAATAAAAGTTTAAACAGTTATTCATTTTTTTTTCCAAACGGTAGAAGAACTCCAATAAAACCAACAAATAATGTTCAAATCCAGACAGGGTAGTCACCTTAATGCCCGAGGCAAAGTCAGAGAGCACTACTATTGCAAGTAGGCTAAAACAAAACAAACAAACTAAAAGGTAGAAACACATACTGAACCCCCCAGTGTAGGAGAATAAACAATCCAAACAATCATATGACGGAATACATAACAGACACCAAGAAACAGAAACAAGACTACCTAGCCACTGAACTGCCTAAAACATACCTAACTAAGCCATCTTGCCTCTGTTTTGCTCTTTTTGTGCCTAGACCAACTGATTCTTGTCATTTTGCCCATGCTCCTGTGACTATTCCCCTTTTCGGTCTCCAAACCCGTTCAAACACCCATAGATTCCTCGATTTCCAAAGCCACCATAATATATATGTGGTTAACTCTATTCTAGCTTCATCCACTGCAACATTTTTGATGGAACAGGTTGATCCCCACCAGCCCTCGAACCTGTAGCCATTCACTTTTATTCCATCCCAATTCACCTGAGCATGCTGCCAAACCATTCTAGCTCTAGTGCATTCAAGTAGAACATGTTCAGTAGTTTCTTCTTCCTCACCACAGCAAGCACAGATAACATCTACTTCTATCTCCTTACTCCTCAAATGGACACAAACAGGCAATGCACTGGATATACATTTCCACAAGAAATGTTTCAGTTTACCTTTGATTTAAAGATTCCATGTTCTTTGCCTAACTTGTTGGTTTCTCCTGCCTGTGCTGCTTCCCTCTGCTATGTATAAGGATAGGAGTTTCCTTTGGTGCAGAAAGGTGTAGGATGGTGCTACTGAAAATCTGCCTCTCTTCCCCATTCTTCAGCTCCATTTGCCATCTAAATGTGTATCCAGAGTCTTAATTTTAAAAATTTCTGTACATTCAGCCTCTTCAAACATCTCTCTTACCATCAGCTCGTTCCATTGATTGTTGCTCCTGTCAAAGATATCTCTAACCCATAGTTGCCCACAGCCATTGATGTGTCTGAGGTGAAGACTCCTATTTCTGATACCTGGCACCTAATTAAAGTCCTGAAGCCTGACAAAGGCTCCATTCCTTATCTCCACCTGCAGACCTTCCCTAAGCAGCCACCTTACTTTCCACCAAGACCTCCAAAGCCAGAGAGAGTTTTGTTTCAGCTCAACATCAAACATGAAAGTGTTTTGGAAGTACCTGCTCTTCATGATCTTGCTCATGAGAAGATGTGGCTTGGTAAGCACTCTCCAAAGTTGTTTCACCAGCATAGCATCATTAAAGAGATTTACATCTTTTAAACCTAAACTCCCCTGAAACAAGACTGTAAATAAAAATAATATAATATAAATAAATGTATAACAAATAATAAATAACTAATAAGTTATAAGGTACAATAAATTATAACTCTTTAAAACCACATAAGTTCTTATCCTCAAATTGTTCAGAAAGATAATTGTTTTAATTAAATTTATAAAATTATATATGTCTAACATAAATATTATTTAAACTTCTGCTAAATCATCAGTCTTTTTCAGTAACAAGACAGGCATGACAGTGCAGAATGAGGTGTGTTAAGTGTTCCCAGAGATCCAAGTGCAGAAATCTTCGGGGTATCTAGGAGTTTTTGTACTAGTATACGAGTTCCATACTAGTAGTTAGTTTTATTACCCAAATCAATTTTTGTTGGTTGGAAGACGAGGTTAAAAGCTCTTCCACGTTCCTCTACCCACCACCCACTTCCCCTACTAATATCCATTTACACAGACCTGTGCTCAACTCAACCACAACTCAACACACCACTATTCTTGCATCTTTTTGCGTTCTTTTTAAAAAAAAAAAAAAAAAAAAAAATTATCTTGATCTTGTAGTTAGAGGGTGCTTGGTATATATATTTGATTGAGTTTTAATTAGATTTTTTTTCATTATCATAGTTAATTTTTACAAAGTTGATTGAATTAATTTGAGTGAGATTTTAATTGTATATTAAATTAGTATTTAAAATAAAATGATTAAAGTTGATTTAATATAAAAATAGAATATATGTGATTAAAAGTGATGAATAATTAAAATTATGAGAGTTGATCAATAGTGAATTAAAGTTGATGTTGATGTTTGAGTATGATTGATTGATATTATTTAATTATATTGATAATATTGAGATAATAAGATTAATTTAAATTTAAGTTAAATTTTAAACTAAAAAAATAATTAACAAAAAATAGTTGATTAAATGGAAAAAGCTATTTGTACAACTTTTTTGTACAACATTCAATGACAATATGATGTGGTATGATATAGGTGGTTGAGATGCAAATAAATGTATGATTGAAATTTGAGTTAATGATACTTTTAACTAAGTTATCAACTAATGTTATGATATAGGTGGTTGAGATGCAAATAAATGTATGATTGAGATTTGAGTTGATGATACTTTTAACTAAGTTATCATCTAATGTTATAAAGTATGATTAAATACAAATTTATATCCGAACCTAGGGAGCCCACCCTTACAATTCCCCTCAAGGCCTGAACACATTACCATATTTCAGTACCACTATCGTGTGCCCTGGCACATCTAGCAAGGTGTGCCAAGGCAATTATGCACGCGCCATTCACCCCCAAAAATCAGAAAAATGAGAGATTGTAGTACACATGCCACTTTTCTTTTCCTTTTTTTTAATTGAAAATGAGACATATTAGATAAATTAAAATATCATTAATGATTTATATTAAAATAAAAAAATAAAAAAACCAAAATTCATAATTTTTCATTCTCTATAAATAGAGACCACATTTGATAGGTTTTTAAACATAATAAATCTTTTTTTTTCGTAATCAATTTATTCTACTGACATAGGATGAACATGTTACATAATAAAATGAACATGTTATCAAATAAGATGAACATGTTATGTATTACAGAATGAAATAACACATGTTCATCTTATTTTATAGCATGTTCATTTCATTTTGTAACATAGTCATCTTACTTTATAACATGTTCATCTTATTGTGTAAATATGTAGCATGTTCATCTTATTTTATAACATGTTCATTTCATTTTGTAACATATTCATCTTATTTTATAAAATGTTCATCTTATTGTGTAAATATGTAACATATTCATCTTATTTTATAATATGTTCATTTCATTTTGTAACATATTCATCTTATTTTATAACATGTTCATCTTATTGTGTAAATATGTAACATGTTCATCTTATTTTATAACATGTTCGTATTATAGTGTAAATATGTAACATGTTCATCTTATTCTATAACATGTTCATCTTACTATGTAACATGTTCATTTTATTATAGATTTGCAGTTTTATCTTCCAATAAGATAAATTAATTGTGAAAAGTGATAAATTAATTGTGTTCTAAAACCTATCAAATGTGGTCTCTATTTGTAGACAATGAAAAATTATGAATTTTGGTATTTTTATTTTTTATTATAAAATATGAATGATAATTTAATTTATATATATATAATTCATAATCCAATAAAAATGGGACACATGTCTCATTTAAAATAAAAAACCTTACCTCACACGCAATGTTTTTAGAGATTGTATTTTTACAAAGGCTTTGACACACCCAGCAAGTGTGTCAAGCGCACCTAATTATTTGCGACCATATTTGGCGTTTGCTTAAATTCGCCGTTTCTTGTTGAAGCCAGTGGATGAAAGCCTGACCGCTACAACACAGACACCACACGTGACCATTGGCCAAAATCAGAATACCCATTTAAATAATGTCTTTTCCTTTTCGATGTGCGTATTCTATTACTATTTTATATTATGGTGATAATAATAAAATAAGTTCATGATTGATTGATTGCATTATCTTTCCACTTTTTTTCATCTCTTCTGCTTTTGTTGCAGTACAATCATACACAGACCAGACAACAACCACTGTCCTCACTCAAAACTCAGCAGCCTCCATGGTTTCACACTTCTTCTTCCAGCTGTATAATTAAATCTGGTTTAAATATGAAAGTAAAATAAAACCAATACCCCTTCACCGTATTTCCTCCCAGCCACCGG